GTTATTTAAGTTCCTGTGTTTATTTAGCACTGGGTTATTGAGTCCAATTGCTTCTGATGATCCCTTATCTAGATGCTCTACCTTTCCAATTTTCAAACAATGCCAAATAGCTTGGATGATTAATGCTTTGTAGTATAATTTGAGGTCTGAAAATGTTATTCTAAGGGAGGGTTCTGTAAGGATAGGAAGTGGAAGAAGGCATTGGGAAGTGAAGGCAATGCGAAGAAAAAGAAGAAAAGAGCATAAAAAGGCACGTTAAAAAGACAGTTCCTATGTGTCTATGATGGGACGCCCCTAGACGGAAAAAGAAAACAGGCCTCCATCTCGATATATGGTGCAGCAGCATCAACATAGTCAGAAACAGAACCAGGGAAAGAAAAAAAGATACTGAGAGAAGAGATATCTCCTAGCATGGTGATTTTTCTCTGTCTCAGTCTGTTTATTTCAGTGTTGCTGCAATGTAAATATAGACTGATGCTTAGGTCCAGGGAGAGAAGGAGAGGAAAACTATCAGAGGGAAGGAACTCTGCCCTTAAGTCCTGAGGGGACCAAAGAGTCAGACGGAGGGCACTGCTCTGACCTCATCCATTGGGTGATCCTCTTAGCTCCCTAACAGGCTCTGTCTCCCTCCACTGCTCTGCCCCTGGGGGAGATTGGGAGATGGATGGGGGGTTATTTTGAGCTGACCCACCCCTCATGGGGCAGTAATGAGTTCACACCCATGCCCCCTCTATGAATGGGTAAACAAGATACTTAGGTCCATTTCCTTCTTCCCTCCTTTCCTCCCACTCCATCCCCAGGGTAGCTGCCCCACCTACTCACTCCTTTATTCCCTGCCCTACTCCCTTAGCCAAGAGCAGCCCAAATGCCATCACAATGACGCCTTATTCTCAGGGCTATGGCCTTCCCGGACACCAGAATTCCCCAAACAGGTAATATTCAGAGGACAATGAAAACAATTTGAGATGCTCTCTTCATAGGCTGGGATAGCAGGAGTGGGAGAAGAGGTTATCTTTGAGAATCTGACCCAGATCCAGAGAAGGAAGCGATAAGGAAATACTGGAGAGACAACCAATTAATCAACCAACCAACCAATCAATCAACAAACATTTATTAAGACACTGTGATCTACATGTAGAAAAATATTTATAGCAGCTCTTTTTGTGGTGGCAAAGAATTGGAAATTGAGGGGATGCCCATCAATTGGGGAATGGCTGAACAAGTTGTGGTATATGAATGTAATGGAATACTATTGTGCTATATGAAATGATGAGCATGGGGCAGTTAGGTGGTGCAGTGGGTAGAGCTCCAACCTTGGAGTCAAGAGGACCTGAGTTCAAATCCAACCTTAGACACTTGACACTTACTAGCTGTGTGACCCTGGGCAAGTCACTTAACTCTGATTGCTTTACCAAAAAAGCAAAAAAAAAAAAAAAACAACAAGAAAAAGAAAAAAGAAATGATGAGTAGGTGGATTTCAGAAAAACATGGACTTATATGAACCGATGCTGAGTAAAGTGAGCAGAATCAGGAGAACACTGTACACAGTAACACCAACACAGTGCAATGACCAACACTGATAGACTTAGCTCTTCTCAGCAATACAATGACCTCAGACAACTCCAAAAGACTCATGATGGAAAATACTATCCACATCCCGAGAAAGAACTATGGAGTCTGAATGCAGATCGAAGCAGACTATTTTCTCTTTTTTTTTCTTTCTCGTGGTTTTCTCCTTTGTTTCTGATTTTTGTTTCACAGAATGACTAATGTGGAAATACGTTTAATATGATCATACATGTATAACCTACATCAGATTGCATGCCATGTTGGGGACGGGGGGAGAGAAGAAAGGGAGAAAATTTGGAACTCAAAATCTCACAAAAATGAATATTGAAAACTATCTTTCCATGTAATTAGAAAAAATAAAATACTACTAAGAAAAAAAAAGACACTGTGCTAGGCACTGGGGTTAGGGACTAGAATATGATTTCCTTGGTCTAGGGAATGCCTAGGTGAAGAAACAGCCCTTACCAAAACAGCTTGACCTCTACATTTTGTAACCTCAGGTGGCTACCCTGGGTGCTGAAAGGCTCTGACTTCCCCAGGATCACACAGTCAAGATGAGAGAAGGAAGACTCGAATCCAGGTCTTCCTGGCTTTGAGGATGGCATTTTATATACCCATTAGAATGTAAGCTCCTTGAAGGCAAGCAGGGACTGGCTTCCTTTCTGCTTGTTTTTGGATTTCCAGTACTTAGCCCAGTGCCTGGTATAGAGCAAGTGTCTAATCAATGCCTGTGGGCTGACCAAGTCTACCAGGTGGTACTAGAGATGAAAAAACAAACAGTCCTGCCCTTTGGCTTACATTCGATGAAGGGGCATGACACATACATACACGTATGCAAACATAAAGTACCTGCAAAGTAAATGCCGAAGAATCTGGAGGGGGCACGAGTACCAAGTTGGGGTGGATGGGAGAAATCTCCTTTTTTTTCTTTTTTGTTGAGGCAATTGGGGTTAAGTGACTTGCCCAGGGTCACACAGCTAGTAAGTGTCTTGTGTCTGAGACTGGATTTGAACTCAAGTCCTCCTGACTCCAAGGCCAGAGCTCTATCCACTGCACCATCTAGCTGCCCCAAACCTCCTCCTTCTAGAGGTGGCCCTTGAGAGAGGGAGGAATTCTAAAGGTGGGAGGTGGGAAGGGAGATGAAATGCTGTGTGTGAGAAACAGCAACTTAGGGTTCTCTATCATCAAGGCCTCCACTTCCTTTCTGACTCTCTACAGTCCGGCTGCTGGCCTCACCATTCCCCTGAAACGTGTCCCTCCAGAGTGACCAATGATCCCTTAGTTGTTAAGTCCGATGGCCTTTTCTCTTCGACTTCTCTGCAGCCTTGGACACTGTGGGTCACCCTGACCGCTTTGCTACTCTCTTCCCTCTAATTTTTCGTGAAATTCGCTCTCTCTGGGTTTTCCCCTACCTATCTGACTGCTCCTTCTCTGCCTTTGCTGCTGGATCTTTGCCTGGGTCATGCCCACTACTCGTGCCACCTACTCATGATTTCTTATAGCACAATAATATTCCATTACATTCACATACCACAACTTGTTCAGCCACTCCCCAATTGATGGGCATCCCCTCAATTTCCAGTTCTTGGCCACCACAAAAGGGAGGGGTGTCCCACATAGCGCTCTCTCCCCAACCCTCTTCTCTTCTCCCTCCATACTATTTCACTTAATGATCTCATCAGCTCCCAGGGATTTAGTTACCATCTCAATGCTGATGATTCTCAGACCTACTTATGCAGCCCTAACCTCTCTCCCGAACTCCATGCTCACATCTCTAACTGCCTATTAGACACCTCAAACTGAATATACCACAGGCACCTTCAATTCAACATATTGAAAACAATTCATTATCTTTCCTCCCCTCTGAATTTCCCCATTACTACGAAGGCCACCACCATCCTCCCAGTCCCCCAGCCTCACAACCTAGGCGTCATCCTCACCTTCTCACTTTCTCTCTCCCCCAATATCCAATCTGCTGCTAATTTTGCCTTCATAGCATCTCTTGCATGCAACCCCTGCTTTCTTCTGATACTGCCAACACTCTGGTGCAGGCCCTTATCACCTCATGCCTGGGCTATTGCAACAGCCTGGCTGGTTTCCCTGACTCAAGTATCTCCCTGTGATAGTTCATCTTCCAATTAGTTGTCAAATTAATCTTTTTAAAGTACAGGTCTGATCTTGTCACCTCCTTATTCAATAAACTCCAGCGGCTCCTTATCATGTCTGGGATTAAATATAGAAAATTCTGTTTGGCATTCAAAGCCCTTCACAACCTGGCCCTACCTATCTAGTCTTCTCACACTTTATTTCCTTCCCTTTCCTCTGCAATCCTCCATCTCCAGACTCTGAATATTTGCCTTTGCTGTGCCCCCTGCCTGGAATACTCTCACTCCTCATCTCCACCTCCTGCCTTCCTGGGCTTCTTTTAAGTCCCAGCTAAAATTCCACCTTCTACAAGAAGCCTTTCCTGATCCCCTTTAAGGCTAGTCCCTTCTCTTGCTTGATTATCTCCAATTAAACCTGTATATGGCTTGTTTATACATAGTCGTTTGCACCGTGTCTCCTCATTAGACCGAGGTCTTTGAGAGCAGAGATTTTCTTTTGTCTTTCTTTGAATTCCCAGAGCTTAGCACCATGCCAGACACATAGTAGGCACTTTATAGATGGTTGTTGGCTGACTTAGAGTTTGTGAAGAGGTATGATGTGTAATAAGCCTGGAAAGATAGTCTGGAGTCCGGTTGGGAAGGTCTTTAAATGCCAAACAGAAGGATTTGTATGTGATCCTAGGGGCAATAGGGAGCCACAGCAGGCTTTGGAGCTAGACAGGGATGTGGATAGAGCCGTGCTTTAGGGATGTCACTTTGGCAGCAGCAGGGAAGAGGAGCCTGAGTGAGGAGCAGAGATTCAAGGCAGACAAAGATACAAAGTGAAACCACAAGGGGGAAAAAAAGCGCTCCCCAAAAGGCAGGGGCTGAGAAAGAGACGCAGAGACAGAGACAGAGAATACCCTGAGATCTTGTTCCACTCACGTGCCTTTGCTGCCTCGTGGCCAACCTTCCCATTCAACCTGAACCAGCTCACTCAGCTGTTATTCTCCGGCGCTGCTCCTCTGATGGGCTGCACCCTGGGCGTTACTGTCTCATGAGGTATTCCCCTACACACCTTCGATTAAGACCAATGGTTTCTCTCCTCAGGTGCCCTTCTCCCCACCCGGTGCTCTAAATTCCTTTGGTTAGGAAACTGGGATATTATTTGCACTCTGTCCCTCCCTGCCTGCTCTCCTAGCTCCCTCTGATTGCAACACAGACACTCAATTACAGCTTATTACCTTGTCATCGGTTTGGCCGTGAATCACTGGGGGAGGAGGGCTCTGGGGGCCCACCCCACTTTGTCACCTCCCTCTGCCTGTCAATGTATAAGGAGCAGCGGCTGGAGGAGGATTCTGGGGAGTCGGGGGAACCAGGGAAAGAAGAGAGGGCCGCAGACACAGAGGGAACAAAGGCTCAGGGGAGGTTAAGAAAGAGTGCAGTAGAAACAGAGACAGAGAGGAAGGAGAAGAGAGGAGAAACGACAAGGAGAAAGGAAAGTGAGAGACAGGAAGAATAAAACCTGAAAGAAAGAAAAGGACAGGAGGCAGAGATGAAGCTGGAGGGATTCCTGCTCAGTCTTATATTGTCCCTGTCTTTCAGGGGCAGCTGGGGAGCTCCCCTGAGTGCTGAAGAGCCTAGGGGCTTGGCTGCTGGGGGAGAGATCGGTGAAGGGTTAGGGGAGGGTGTCAAACATGCGGTTGGAGAGGGTGTCAAACACGGGTTGGAGGAGGCCATTGACCACGGAATTAGGGAAGCTGCTGGCCCTGGGGTTGGGCATTCAATTGGTCATGGGGTGCAGGATGTAGGTAACGCCATCAGTCACGCTGGGAGCTCTTTGGGCAAGGACATCAGTAACGCCGGTGAGGCCCTCAGTCATGGAACTGGTGGTGTTCATCGTCCGTTGCTGGGGATCCCTCATGGGGCCAGCCATACTAATGTGAGTGGAAGGGAAGAGTGAAAGAACAGAAGGGAGGAATGGTCAGGAGGAAGATGGGTTGTGGGTGCCAGGAAAACTAGAGCAGGGGTGGGGTTCGGATGTCCCCAAGCCCCCATGGCCTGTCATGTTCTCCATCGGCTTCCCTTCTGTCTCTCCTTTATGCGACTTCTTTCTCGGTGGCTTTCTCTCTGTCTCCTTCTCCCAGGCGCACCTCCTGATCTCCCTCCCCAGTCAGTAAAGGACACCAGCTCCAAGGATACTCTCTTTGCAGGTGCATGGTGGCGGGCCTTCATCTGGAGGGCACGGGGCCTCTGGAACCAGCAGCTCCCATACTGGTCATGGGCTCTTGGGAGGTCACGGAAGCCCAAGCAGCGGTGGAACTGGCTCTCATGGAGCTTCACAGGGCCAAGGACATCATGGAGGCCCGGGAAGCCATGCTGGGAGCCATACTCAAGGAAGTCAGGGTGGCTCAGCTGGCCAGGGGACCGGTTCTCAGGTAAGAGACACCGGCCCATTCTCATGGATCAATCCCCAGTAACTAGCAGCCTTCTCATCAGCTCAACCCCCTCCCTCCACTCCCAGTATTGCTGCCCTAACCCGGACTCCTCTTCTCCACACATGACTTGAATCTCCCTCTTATTGTAGGGAAGTAATTCAGGCAACGGGAAGCTGGTAGAAAGGAGCAGTGGCCAGGAAACAGGGGTAAGAATGAAATGCAGGGAGGAGGCTGGTGGGAAGAGGGAAGGTGTAGCCTGGAGAAGGCAGCAGTGAGTGAGCAAAGAAAAGCCGGGTGAAAAAAGGATTAGGGGAAGTGGGGCAAGCAATGAGGGGAAGAAACGAGAGTAAGAGGCAATCTGGATGAGGAGGGGGCAGGAAGGAGCTGGTTGTTTGGGGGGAGAGGGAAGGGAGGAAGAGACAGGGATGACGTCCGATCTAGAGGACTAGGCTGGATTGAAAGGGATTCAGGTTCTGACTTGGAGGTATCTGAACAGCCTAACTCCTCAATCTACTTTTCCCCTTAGTGCACCAACCCCTCACCTTCTGGGTCAAGTGGTGGAAGCGCCCCTGGGGTAAGAAGATATGGGAAAGCCAAAATCCGTTGTGGGTGTGGGGAAGTCTATCCCTCATCCATTCCAGGCATCCACACAGGAGAGGAGAGGGAGGGGGAGGGGTAGAGGATGAACAAAGGCAGTCATCTTGATTTCTCTGACTGTGTGTCACTTCCTTTCCCTTAGGGAGGCAGCAGCTCAACCCCAGGGTCCGCTAGCAGCGTCAGCACAACTACAGGCCTTTATGCAAACCCTCCAAAGGTGAGCCTTATGTCACAAGCAGGAGGCTGCCAAATCTTCCCTTGATTTCAGTCCCCTCAGCAAACACCTCTGTTATGTGCAAAGAGCTGGGACTTCCGCCTTTGGCCAGCATCTAGTGTCTTGGGGTGTGGTGGCGATGAAGGGTTGTCATGTGGCATGAATGCCAGCAAGGGCAGATGGAGCCCCCGGTGCCAGAAGGACAGAGGTGATAGACTGGGGACTTTGAGAAGGGAAGACTTCCAGGGAGTGAGGAGTTTTAAAGGACAACAGCAGGAGGGGGGAGGAAGGGGGGGACTGGCCTATGAATCATATGATCGTGGATGCAGAGAACTGGGAGAGACCTTAGGGGTCATCTGGTCCAACTCCTTCATTTTGCAGATGAGGAAACTGAGGCCTACACGGGGAAATGACTTGTCCAAAGTCACACAGGTTCAAGAGGCAGAGTCAGCCTTTGAACCCAGGTTCTCTACTTTGAAGCTCCCTTCCCACTCCATCCTAGGCTCAGAGGCAGCAGAAGTCAGGCAGCCAGTCAACAAGCATTTGTTAGGGCCGCATCTATGTGACAGGCATTTGTGCTGCTAAGTGTTGGGGATGCAAAAAAAAAAAAGCGGCATGCACAGTCCCTGACCTCAAGGAGCTTACAATCTAATGGGGGAGCCCACGAGAACACAACAAGAAATATTCAGGCCAAAATGGGGGTAGCCTTAGAGGGAAAGCTCTAGGATTAGGGAGGGGTAGGAAAGGATTTTTGCAGAAGGTGGGATTGAGACTTGAGGGAAGCCAGGAGGCAGAGGTAAGAAGGGAGGGATTCCTTGAGAGGAAGGCACTGGCAGCTGCAGAAGGTGGGACCATTAAGGAGGAGAGCAAATATGGCTGGATCACAGTCCCATGATAGGCTCGTGAGAGAGGGAAAGGGAGACAGGTAGACTTCAATATGGCTGGAGACTATATGTTCTGGTGCTGGCTGAATGATTCTAACTGGGTTAATTTGCTTCTGCATTCACTTTTGTTCCCCTCCCCTCCCACCCCAATAACCCTATTCCAAATCTCTGCCCAGGAAACAAGCCCAGAAGCAACCACTAGTGTAAACAGAAACAACCAGGTGAGCACTCCGAAGAGCTCCCCAACTTACTGAGCTCTAGGAAGGGGGGGCGGGAAGAACAGAGGCTGTTCCCTTGCCCTCCCCCCACTTGTGTGGGATCTTAGCCTCCCAACCAAGATCTAACCTAAACTTAAAAGAGTAGCTTGCTATCTAAGTCTCTTCCCCAATAAGAGGTACAGAAGGGAGGCCATGCTTTTGCTATCCAAATGTATTTGTATTCCTTATGCAACCCACCATTTGAGGAGGTAGGGAAGGGATTGTTGGGGACAGGGGGAGAGAAAAGCAACTGGAGATGAAATTAGTTGCTACCCTACAACTGTAGCCTGGGTAGATTGACTCTCATACTTCTAAGTCCATTTATGTCAATCTCAGAATTTTCCCATCTTTCAGGGATCTACATCATCATCTTCTGGCAATGGTGGAAATAGTGGTGGTAGAAGCACTGAAGGGGTGAGTGTATGTGTGTGGGGGGTAGTTGTGTGTGTGTGTTGCAGGGGAAGGGCAGTTCACTATGCAAGCATAGTGGGAAGGCGGGAGCTGGGTCAAGGATTGAGGGCTTGGAACTAGATTAGGGTTTAAGGATGGGACTCAAGTCCGGATTTGGGATTTGGATGGTTGTGTTTAGTTCCTGTGACTTTATGATCTGGGTTTATAGTGTCAAGGTCTGCCACTAAAGCTTTATCCTCTTTTTTCCTCCCAGTGTGAGAATACAGGCAGTGGAAATCAGGTGAGCTTCATCGACTCCCATCATCCTTCTTACACATGACATACTCTTAGGATTCAATAACTTTAATCCCCCATCTCCTTACCACTTACCCCAATCTTATCTTTCATCTCAACCCAACCCCAGCTACAGGGTCTACCCTCTGGGTCCTAACTCTGATCTTTTTATTAGCATTTATAATTTTTATCTTTATTTATTTATTTTTAATATTAATTTCATTTTAATTTTAAAATAATTATTTATTTTTAGTTTTCAACATTCACTTCCATAAGATTTTGAGTTTTAAATTTTCTCCCCCTCCCCCTCCTCACCCCTCCCCAACACAGTGTACAATCTGATATAGGCTCTACTTATACATTCATATTAAACATATTTTCACATTAGTCATGATATAAAGAAGAATTAGAACTAATAGGAGGAACCACAAGAAAGAAGAAACAAAACAAAACACCAAAAGAAAAGGAGAGCAAATAGTATGCTTTGATCTGCATTCAGATTCCATAGTTCTTTCTCTGGATATGGATAGCATTTTCTATCAGGAGTCTTTTGGAGTTGTCTTAGATCCTTAGCATTTATAACTTAATGGGACATAAGATATATGTTGGCATGGAAATAAGGTTAAAATTCACAAAACAATTGTTGGGTACAAGTCTCTACAAGCACTAGCTTTATAAACAGATGAGTCTGTGCCAAGGGATGCTATGCACCAAGATAAATTTTAAATGTACACCGTGGAGACGCTGGTGAATGCTATGGTGAAGTCTTTGGCAAAGTGAAGACTATTTTTCCATGCTAAATAACTGCCTCTCCTTATTTTGTGAATGCCGATTTCATATTAGTTTTGCTTAAAGCAAGGCACACCAGCCGTGAGGGTAGCATACGCAGAGGCTCAGGAGATGAGGAAGGGAGCACTCAGTCTTTAATGAGGTTAACCAGGGACAGTTTTTTTGAAGATGAGTTTGCCACCAGGACTTGTGAAAGTAATCTCCATCCTTGGTCTCTGTTTTTCTCACCCAGGGAAGCAGCTCTTATAACAATAGACAGACTGGACAGGGCTCTGAGGGTGGATCTAACAGCTGAGTAAGGAGCCTGGAAACTAGAGGTCCTTCTTCTTAGAAGGAATAAGCCAGGTCACGCCAAAGAGAATGGGGAATAGCTCTCAGTCATCTGTGTTAATGAGGGAAGCTGAGGGGCAGACAGTCCTCAAATTCTCTTTCTGGTTTTGGATTGTATTTTGGTCATTTCATGGAACATGTATGTATCTAGTAATCTGGGACTCCTATGGTCCTGAATAAATAATGAGGAAATAATGCACGGTGAAGACCTCACTTGGGAGAAGCTGAAAGCCATCTAGTCCCCCCACCCTCAATTCCTGTTCACTCCTCACTCTCAGACTGAGGCAAAACATCAACCTGAGTTGAGCCTTTTCTTCTCTTTCCACCCATTCTTCCTCCTCCCAAAATTGAAGCTCTCAGAGCTCATACCTTCCCTGGAGGAGGGTGAAGAAAATAAAGTGCTTTGGTTTCAAAGGCATCCCCTCCCAAACTCTGGTGTGGTGTTTGCAGGAATGAATATGAATTGATAACATCAAGAAAGGATTTAAGTAAGCACAGGAGGTGATACTGTCAACAACCGAAAGGTGAAACAAGATTTTCACGCTCCACATAGAGATAGGGATCAGGTTTTGCTGAAGGAGAGAAGGATGGAGGAAGGGAGGTTACTTGTCTGCTTCATAGGGTTCCAGAGAGTCCTTATAACCCTACCTACACTTTTAGAAATCCACCCCTCTATTGGGAGAGAGTTCAAAAGGGTTCAAGAAAACTTCATTTTCTTTAAGATCCTGGAGTATTTTAGCCATCTCAATTCTCTTCCCCAACCCCAGCTTTTTCAGCCTCTAACTTTCTGATCCATCTTCCCCACAGGATACACTCAATCAGGGGAATCATAACCTTGGAGGCTCCAATAACCAAGGGAGGATGGAATGAGGAGTGGGTTCGGGAGGCAATAGAGTTGATGGACAGGATGCCAGGCTCCCTGGTCTCTGGAGGCTTCAATTGTCTCCCTCTCCTCTTTTCAGGGATCTGGCTCAGCACCATCTTCAGCAGGAGGGAATGGAGGTTCTGGTTTTGTGAGTCCTACTTTATTTCTCCATTGCTGGTCAGAGTTGTGTTTGACAGAGGAAAGGCAGACAGGACTAGCCGGGACACAGCTGGGTGTGTCCAACTCCTTAGGTCCTGATGGCTCAGTCAAGCCTTCCTCACGTACAGGTCACCCATGGGATCCATGGTCCTCTAGTAGGCACTGGGAGAAAAATAAGACACAACTTCTGCTCCTAGAAAGCTTAGTTGGGCAAAACACACACACACACACACACACACACACACACACACACACACACACACACACCATGAAATGTATTCAAAGGACAATATAGTAACAAGGACAAACATGGACTGCTAAGGAGCCACTAGAGCTAATCAGGGAGGGCTTCCCAGAGGATACCAGACTGAAGCTGTTTTAAAAAATGAGGGGAAGGGGTGGGGCATGAAGAGGCGAGCAGTCTAGGTGAGATGTAGGGGAGCATTCTTGCCATTTGAAGGGATGAGAAAAAAAATCAGACCAGAACAAAGAAGGGGGAAGAGGGAAATTAGTCAGAGATGACACAGAAGAGAGAGAGGTAAATGAAGTTCCACCAGTCTTGATGCCTTGACTGTTACATAAGAGAAATTTAAAAATGAGGAGGGGACGTATTGCTAGGATCAGGGAAGAAACACTGAGTCTGGAGCTAGGAAGCTACTAGCTATACTCAACAGACAAGCAGATTTAGGGTTTTTCACTTAGGATTTTTCAAAACATTTGAAAATCTCCAGGTTCAATGCAAATGTGGTGTTGCAAGAGCAGGGGCAGAGGGTTGGAAGCTCTGGACAGTGTGAGTGTTCAGCGGTGAGAGTGCGGCAATTAAGGCTACGGGAGATCCTAGCTGAAGGGGGACAGGTGGCCTAATGAATGGAATAAGTAATATTCTATTCTAGTCCAACAACAGAAAATGTCAGCTGTTATTAGTACCAAGTTTGTGTTAATTCACGAATGGGCAAGAAGGCGTTTCTGTCCTATAGAGTCCTCCCCTCCTTCCCCCCATCTCAAATTTCCCATAGTACTTTGCATGGTCCATCTTTTGTATTTATTTTCTATTTTGTAGGGAAGTTATATGTCTTATTTCCGCTGTCACACTTTCAATTTAATTCAATATATCGAGAATTCAGCAAAGCACTAACAACACTCGGGATAAGGAGAAAAAAAAACCAAACCAAAAAAGTCCTGTCCTCAGGAAGCTTCCATTCTACCAGGGTAGACAATGTGAAGGTAGCTCATAAGATCATGGATCTAGGGGTGGAAGTGACCTCAGCTGCCATCTCTTCCAACCCTTTCATTTTAGTTGAGGAACTGAGACCCAGTCAGGCTAAGTGAGGTTCCACGGGGAGAGAGCAGCAAGGTCAGTTTAAAGCCAGTATTCTTTTTCCATGTAAGTAAATTCAGAGTAATCCGCGGGGGTGGAGAACACCAGCAGCAAGGTCTGGTAAGGACTCCGGGGAGATGCCCCAGAAGCAGGGCTGTCTGAGCCGAGCCTAAGAAGGAAGACAGATTCCAAGAGCTGTGCTTCAGAAGGGAAGCAATGTGAGCTCTTCCATGGCAGGAACAGTTTCTGATGTCCCTCCGAGTGGAAGGAGCGCTGGCCTTTCCAAGGTGTATAGGACCTGAATTCAAATTCTGTTTCCTCCACTTAAAAGCTCTGTGACCTTGCTCTCATCACCTCTCTGCATCCCCATTCCTTACTTGGAAAATGGGAAAGATAACACGTATTTGATGGGGTCATTGTGAAGCAGGTGCTTTGCAAACTGAGGCACAACTATATGTTCATGTTCTCTTCCCCCCCCCCCCCCCAACAATGCTGAGCTCTTAGTGATCATTTCATGAATGTTTCTTTTGGCCAAGGGTGACTAAGACTTGGGGCAGGAGATAGAGAGGCCAGGAAAGTATGCATGTACTTAGCAGGTGGTCAGAGGAGGATTGAGAGGAGTCAAAATAGTTTCTTACTGGTCACTGCACAGAGGAGGGTCTACCTGCAGGCAGATTTTAGGAGCTGATACCAGGAGAGTGAGGGAGAAGGTTTCCCTTGATGATGTTAAGTTCAGACAAGGAGAAGGCAGACTAGGACAGAGAAGGGCTGAGGCTTGAGATGAGGGGGGTGCATAGTTTGAAAGAATGACTGAATATGCAGACCCTTGGGAACTCACTTTTCTTTGACCTCTTATACAGGGATCTAACACAGCTGGAGGAGGAATGGGAGAAACTGAAGTCAACAGTGGAAATGGTGTTAAGGTAAGTACTGTCACATTACACCTACACATGTGTGTGTGTGGGGGGGCGGGAATGTGGCCAGCTTGGAGTCATGTAGGATTTGTGGGTCCACTGCTGCCTCATCACCAAGCTATTCTGCCCTGATTATGCTCCTCTCCTGGGATTCGAGTGTCTTGCCTGTAAATCTCACCATTGTCTCGGTAGGACCCTCTCACCCTTTTTCTCATTTCCGTTCCTTAGAATGCTCCCAATGCTCAAGGCTTCTTCAACTTTGATACGTTCTGGAAGGTAAGTCTGGTAAATAGCCTCCCCCTTCCCTTCCCTTCCCTCCCAATCGAGCTGTTCTATCCTCCAGTTCTCCTGATGCAGACTCTTTAGGTGGACGGGATACCTGGGCTGCTGGGTTGTAGTGGGAGTGCATCTCATCTTTAGGCTGCAAAAGCTGCCTGCACCCTAGTTTAATTCTACCCCACCCTTTTCTCTGCAGAATTTTAAATCCAAGCTGGGTTTTATTAACTGGGAAGCCATAAACAAGGTAAGAGCCAGATTGGGAGGCCAGGGCACATGGGTCCTTTGAGGGGAGAGGAGTGAAGGCGAAAGACGGAGTAAGACTCAGGCCCAGACTGATGTCTTTGAGGCCTTGGAGAATGTTGGCACTTGAAGATAATCTAGTCCAATGTCCTTGTATTACCAAGGAAGGCATGGGAGGCCTAGAGAGGTGACTAGATATCAGAGCAAGAACCCAAAGCCAGGTCTCCTGACTGAAAGTCCTGTGCTCATCCTGACATACCCCCTGACGATGCTGAAGAAGGATTTATGCCGGGAATCTGGAGGAGGCCGGAGGTGGAGGGGGAGAAGTTCCTTCTACGTCCTTAGAAGAGAGATAGTATCTTGTGGGAGAGAACTGGAACTTGTGGACAGGGCATGGATAGGACTCATTAATACCTTTCCTGTGCAATCCTTGGTGGGTGAAGGGCCTTGTGCCTCAGTTTCCCTCTCCCTAAAGCAAGCTAACCTATCCAATTTTTGTGGAATCTGGGAGCAGGGAGAAGAGGTGGGATAGATAGTGAGAGGAAGTATGGGACAGCGAAAAGAGCAAAGGAACTGGTTTCAGTCTTCTCAGAGAAAATGCGGGGAATGGCGCATGAGGCCCCCATGATGCTATGCATGGAGTGTGGCATAGCTGGTCAGCGCTGGGAGCCAGGACATACATGAGCAGGAGCACATCATACCAGAAACTCAGATATCTGGCACCATGCCCCACTTTCTTCTTGGAAGCAACCTGTACTGGCTCGGGCATTTTGAGTTGATTGATGCATTTGGGAAGTGATCACCTACTCACAATTCAGGGAAATGGATGGAGTGGGAGGAATTCTCAAAGACTAAAGGGGGAAGGACACATGGGCAATTCCAAGTAGGAGACACAGAATTGAAAAGTTTCAGTCCTGCTTTCACAGAATGCCTAGTCTGATGGAGAAGACACAGGACCCACTTTCAGGGAGCTTCTGGTCTAATAGGGAGACAGGGTCCCTCGGGGACCATATAAACTAGAAGAGTCTGTAGTCTGGTCAGGGAAATACACACACACACACATACACTCTCATGTAACATATACTTATGAAAGATGTATAGATATGAATAGAATATCACATTAAATGTAAACAACTACAATGAAAATAAATCCCAGAATGCAAAGGAGAGAAATGGTCAGAACGAACACTGAGAGAAGGCTTCCTGCGGGGTGGGACTTGTGGAGGAGAAGGCCGGAATGTTCCTAAGGAGGAAGCAATTTGAGAGAAGGTTCCACAGTGGGAATGAAAGGTTGGGATATGGGAGATTAGGAACAGATAAGGTCAGGAGGGCAGCTATCGTGAAGAGGCCTTTTAGGCCAATGCTGGAAATTTTGCCCCAGACATGATGGACAACAGGGCATCACTGGGGAGGTTCTGGACCGGGGTGCCAACCATGGCCCCACCTACTTCATAGTCCATCCTTCCTAGAATTCCCACCCCCTGACCCCAGAGCTCTCTCTCTCAGAGCCTATTTTTCTGCCCAGGACCAGAGGAGCTTTCGCATACCGTGATTTCCAGACGAGAAGTTGCCAGATGGATGGGACCCTCAGGCCCCACTCCCAAATCCCCTAAAATGAGAACATCCCCTTCTCCTTTAAATAAACCGCAGCTCCCCTGTACTCCCGGTCTCTGCTCTTTCTTGCCGCCTTTTAAGGGGAAGAGGGCTGGAGGGGAAGAGTGAGGTGCCAAGGTTTGGGAGGGGGAGCTGGGGGCAACAGTAGAGGAAATCACTGGGCAGAGAGGTCTCACCACTGAGCTCTCCCTCTCAGACTTACTCCTTTTACAATGGAGAGGAGTTGGGGGGGGGTGGGAATCCAAAGCAAAGAATGTGGGTGATGAGTGTGGGATAATAGCACTGTCTGCCCTGGCCTCTCCCATCTTCCTTTCCACTTCACTGCCCAGAACTGAGGCTCCTATACTCAGTCCACCACCTCTCCCTTAGAGGCTCCAAGTTGTCTGTGTGTCTAACTCCTCCTAAGTCTTATGAAAGTCTTATGAAAGATTGTTGACGGAATAGGGTGTTGGGGAATGGAGTGTGTGTGTGTGTGTACGTGTGTATGTGTGTTGGGGGGGCAAGAAATCTCAGGGAAAACCACATATATTTGTACTGAAAGGAGTAGGGAGTTGGGCTCCCCACTAATTTGCTTCCCACTTTTCCTCCACAGCATAACTTCCCACGCCCCAGTACTCGGGTCTTCCTTTACTTAAGACGGCTCTGGGAGGTAGGAGAAGCCTCAAGAACCTCTGGGCCCCTTCAGTCAAGCCCCTCTCCTTTCCAAATGTGGCCATCCTCTGTTTAATTCCCCATCTCATCCCCTATCTCATTTCCTTTCTAAGACTCAGACCCACTCTATTTTTAATTTTATTTTTTAATTCCTTCATTATTCTGCCATCTGACAATAACTTTCACTAACTACCCCCATGTCCTTATCTCTCATCTTCACTTTGTACTTAATCCAAACCTGGTGCCTAGTGCTAATCTCCAAGGCTATGCCCAGCTCTGTCTCTACCCTCACACCCAGGTCCTTTCCCGAGAATCAGGTTCTCTGCCTTCCTGTGAATTGTTACTTTTTTCTCCTTCTCCCTGTAGGATTTCAAATACAACACACCTTACATCAACTGGCAACTGATCACTGAGGTAAGGGGGCTAGGGTCCCTTGCTTTGGGGATGGGCAGTGTGGGTCTGGGGAATCTGAACAGCCCTAGCCAACAACTTGCTGACTCAGCCCCCTACCCTACTTACCTCCTTTGCTGGTTTAAGCAACCCTGGGTGGAGGTGGGGGTTAGGGTACAGAGGGAAAGCTGTGAGTCACAGGGGAGGGAGGTACTCCTCAGCCTTCCCAGGTATAAAAACTGAGGGCCAGAAGGTTTCAGCAATCAGTCCCAAGCTGCAGGAACATGAAATCATCAACCATCCCCAGTCTTCTGCTGCTGCTGCTGCTTAGCTTGACTTGGCTCAGGGGGAGCCATGGCAGGGTGGGTAATGGAAAAAGGGAAGGGGGAGCAAATGGAGGGAGGGCAGGAGAGAAATATCCTCATGCTGGTGCCTGTGCCTATCCCTCCACTGTAGGGTTTCGAAGTCCTGGGCTGGGCTAATCAGTGGTGCATTAGAGAGAGTTCTTGGGAGAGATATACTAAGACTATTATTAGAGGTCAGTGTGTGAAGAAGGGTCAGGTTAATATCTCGGTCTATTGATTTGGGTGGAGAATGGAAGGACACTTGGGACTTGGGGGATGATGGAGTTCTAGTGCAGGAGAATTAGGCCCTGGAAGAAGAGCAGTGATTAGGAGATCCCAAGGTCCTGGAAAGAGGATTTGGACTTTGTGTTTGGGGTCTTGGGGGGCGTTGGGGGAGTAGAGGGAGGTCAGTTAAGGCAGCGAGCAGGGGGGCTGTACTTGAACATCTGGTTTAGGATGAGCATTGGTCAATGAGGCCAGAATCAGCCCACTTTTTCTGGAAGGGTAGAGGTGAGGATTAGGATGGGCATGAGCAGCACTGCCCTTCTCTTGTTCTGGGCTGAGCTAAAGCTGAGCCATCATAAGATGCAAGTCAAGAGCCGGGGTTAAGCCTCTGTTTCCCTTATTTCTTTCTCTTTCCTCTAAAAAACCTAACCTAGGATTCATTTATAAGTTACAATGAAAAATCCTTCAGGCTAGAAACAGACTCATACACAAGAGTCTGGGTGTAGAGAGGGAGAAAGCAAGTCAGGGTTTAGAGAATGACATTTAGAGAATGCATTGATTACTTGATGGGAGTGAGGGCTGGGGGCTAGGGCCCGGGAGGGAAGTGAGAGGGCCGAGGCCAGTCTTCTTAGGCTCACACCCAAGCAGCTGGTGTGGGGGCGAGGTTTCTCCATCTGTTGCTCAATGTTTTCAGACCCAGGAGAACCCAGGTGTCTGGGTTTGGGGTGAGGAGGGTGGGGTTGCCGAGACTAGTTATCTACCACTGCCACCCCCACCTTGAGAGTGATGAAATCAACAGCTTAGATCTACCTGGGGCAGTGGTGGCAGCCCTCTCCCTGCTAGGCTTTCTGCCTTGTGTGTGCATAGCTCCTGTTACCCATGGGCTACTGGGGGGATAGGACAGGATGCTCTGGTTCTAGGAGGTGATGAGAACCTGGGCAGCTGGCCCTCAGGTCCTGGGATGGGAGTGAGAACTGAATTGCCTGGCAGAAGCACCAAGTGCCCTTCCTCTCCCTTTCTAGGGTGCAGAAGAACCTTCTATTGAGAAGAGGGCTGGGGGTGCAAACCAGGTAAGTCTGTTTGCCTTGGGGTCTGAGGAGCCGGGTTCAAATCTGGTGAGAGAGTCCAAACCAATAATCCTTGTTCTTAAGGAACTTTCTGTCTGATGGCAAAAGATGCACCCAGAAAGAGCCATGATCACAGGTGCCAATTCATAGAGAATTCAAGGGTGGATGATCAGAGGAGTGGATTGGTAATTAGAGAAGGCCTCTTGGTGGAAAGTAGCTTTCTCTTCTCCAGGCTATGGGGAAACACAGAGGGGAAAAGGGATCCCAAATTATGGGGAAATGGTTCAGGGTGTGATCTCAGAGGGGAAAACCAGCAAGGAAACCCAGTAAGCAGATGAACTGGGTTGGAAATCTTTCTCCCCTTTTCCCCTTCTCCCTGGTCTCACAGAACAACCAGCTGGCATACCCCACTGTTAATGGAGGACAGTACCTGAACGGAACACCGTCCAAGGTAAGGTCTGCTTGTGACCTGCTCTGCCTTCCCATGGAATCCTGCCTGTAAGCAGAATCAGGGGATAGGGGCTTCACCACCGACATTGGGATTACCCACATGGTGCCAGGGGGTGCCAGGCCAAGAGTCAGGAAGAGCCAAGTTTAAACCCTGCCTCACACACTCTCTCACAGTTTCCTGACTTGTCAAATAACAGCATCTTCCTCTCAAGGTTGTTGTGTCGATCGAATGGGGTATTTGTAAAGTGCTTAGCACAGTGCCTGGCACATAGGAAGCACTTAATAAATGCTGCTCCCTTCCTTCCTGCTCCTCTGTATTCCTGAATGCCAGACCAGTCTAGCCCTACAGCTTAGCATCTGCTGTTTTTCTATCAGGTGGTAGTTAATGACAGGTGCTCAGGGATATTCCAATGGACCTTCTGGATGGGGGCATTCCCTCCAAAAGCACAGATGCCCACCTATCCATCCATGCCTGCCCTTCCTGGGGGACTTTTGTTCATGTGTTCCTCTAATGTTATGCTTTGATGCCCCCCTTTTTATGACTTTGAAGGAGCCTGATTCTCCCAGAGTGGAAGCCAAGAATCATACAGCAATCTCCTGTGGGGTTACTGAGTGAGGAAGAGAAAGAATTCAGCAATTCAGCCCTCACAAGCATACACACATGCACACACACACACACACACGCACACACACACCCCTCACACCATATATACCCATCATATATACATTACACATACACTCATACA